AGAGCGATAGTAGAATTTCCTTGCATTCGTTATGCTCTATGCTCCCATAGATGCCGTATATGTAGCTAGGGTATCTCTAAGTCTGGCATTGAACTGAAGCTAACTTCGCTCTCATCGATTCCCACAGAAAATGGTCATACCCGAGTATCAGGATGGCAAGACGGACGAGGCCTTTGTGCTCTACAAGAGCTACGAGGACGAGGAGCCGACGAACGCGCAGACGCGTCAGGGGGCCGCCACGGGCGTGGCATTGGCCAGTGCACGGATCACGCCCAAGATCATCGTGGACATGCGCGAGTTTCGGTCCGATCTGCCGTGCCTGATCCACCGGCGCGGCCTGGAGGTGGTGCCGGTGACCATCACCATCGGCGACTACATTCTGACGCCGGAGATGTGCGTGGAGCGCAAGTCGATCTCGGATCTGATCGGGTCACTCAACTCGGGCCGGCTCTACAACCAGTGCGTCCAGATGCAGCGCTACTACGCCAAGCCCATACTGCTCATCGAGTTCGACCAGAACCGGCCGTTCCACTTGCAGGGCAAGTTCATGCTCTCCCAGCAGACGACGGCCACGAATGCGGATATCATGCAGAAGCTGCAGCTGCTCACCCTGCACTTCCCCCGGCTGCGGCTCATCTGGTCCCCCAGCCCGTATGCGACGGCCCAGCTGTTCGAGGAACTGAAACTGGGCAAGGAGCAGCCGGATGCCCAGGTGGCCGCCGCCCTGGGCAGCGACGAGGCCGGCCCAGCCCCGGGCGAGCAGCTGCAGTACAACAACGCCATCCACGATTTCCTGCTGCGCCTGCCGGGCGTCCACACGCGCAATGTCCATGGCCTGATGCGAAAGGGCGGCAGCCTGCGCCAGCTGCTGCAGCTCAGCCAGACGGAGCTGGCCGAGCTGCTGCAGTCGCAGGAGAGCGGCAAGCTGCTCTGGGACATACTGCATGTGGCGCATCTGCCCGAGAAGGACGAGGTCGCCGGCTCCTCGGCGCTGCTGGCGGCGAGCAAACAATTTGGCAGCGGGTCACACAATCGCTTCCGCAAGGCAGCCAGCGAGGCGCGACGAGGCAGGCGTTGATGCTGAGCAGAAGGAGGGGCGAAGGAGAAGGAGTTGCAAAAGCAGGAGGAGAGGAGGAATCAACAGATGGCAGCAAGTGGAAAGGGTAGGAAGGGTATAAAGCCAGAGCAGGAGAAGGAGGATGACTGGAATGAAGAAGCCAAGACTGAGATGAAGCAGGAGCAGAAGACAGAGGCCAATGAGCAAGCAGGAAACGGCAAGGAGAAAGTGTGGAGAAAGTAGTAACTGGAACAGCGACAGGAGCGCAAGGAAAGGCTGCAGATGAAGGAGCAGCATGAGCAGGAGGAAAGTGGAATGGAGGGAGGAGGGAGAGCGTAGGAAATGAGAAGCCAAAGCTGATAACGAGCTGCTCATAAAGCACAGTTAATGCAATTTGTTCACGTGCAACGTGGGCAATGAGCGCGCGCGCCTTGGGAACAGTCAAGCAGGAGAAACAGGCGCAGCAGACGGCAAAGCTGTTGACCGCTACCTGGCTGAGGCACGAGCCAGGCGCAAGGCAGTAGGCGGTCTGGCAAGAGGGGGCGTGGAGGGTGGGAGGGTGGTCAATCGATTCGAATGCATTTTTAATGCTCCCACTGCAGTTGCACGCAATCGCTCGACTTCCTTCCTGCTCCCCAAGCGCTGTTGCACCAGCTGCCAGCAATTCCAGCCATCAACAGCTGCACAGCAGCGCGTCAGCTAGTTCTCGGTTGCCTCAGAGCATATACCCTGTAAAAAAGTAATCGTTGGCTTGGGCTTTTTAAAAGTATTTTAAGGAGTTTTTTATGGTTTTTGTTTGGATAATGTAGGCCAAAGTCAATTAGAGAGAGAGAGAGAGAGAGTGAGTGAGTGAGTGAGTGAGAGAGATGGTATACCCTGTTATAAGCTATTTGTAGCGTATGAACCATTCACTGCTATATAAATGAAATATTTTATACTGTTCCTTGGTCGATTATAAGAAATACGTTAAAGTAGAGATACAACTTACATGCCTACATATACCCTGTAATTATTATAGGTATTTTCAATTGCTATGTGATTAACTTTGCAGAATTTAGGTATGTCTTGAGTACACATTATACATAAGTACATATCTGCAGCTACCCTGTAAATTATTTAGTACACATAAAGGAATTCACAATATCGATTAAATTCAATTAAATTGGAATGAACGGTTTACTTATAGTGAGACATAAAATTGAAGATATGTTCTACATGTTCTACCTACATATTTTCTACATGTTCTACCCTATAGACCTTATATGTCGGGTATACACAACTATCTGCTAACATCATTATCGCTTATGCATTATTCCGAAAGATTAGAAATACGAAAAATGTATGAACAGCTTAATTCTCCATATGCAATACCCTATAAAAGTCTATTTTCGGGTATGAGATTCGGAATATGCCAAGTGTTGGCTGCCCTATATAAGCCTTAGCAGGGTATATATATAAGCCTATCAGAGCATAGTCCAATCCAGCTTCTACTTAAAATATTTAAGGCCCCACTACAGGGTATCTGCTAGTTGCATTGCATGCGTTCAGCTGCTGCGCTGCGAGGCACAATCGAAGAGAGAATGCCAATTCATGCCCCAATCAGTAACTGCATCCAAGTCAGAAATGGAAATGCAAACAGAAATGGAATCAAAAATCTGAAACTGAAACTGAATTTGAATTTGAATTTGAATAGCAAACGCGGCCGAATTTGGGGCCTCCAAATGATGCAGTCAATTCAGGCATTTGATGCGCTACACAAATGGGGCATTGAGATGGGGGAATTGCGTTGGCCATATTCATTATTATTTCGAGGAAAAGCTGGAAGTTTCTTTCAAGTTATTGACCTCAAATGGAATTTCAGCTTTCTACCTTGAGAATTATTTCAGTGGACTCAATGCGAGTTCGATATGTATAAGTATATCTTTATTGGGATCAGCAATGCAGTCAGTCTTCAGTAGTGCCAAGAATTTGTATACCCTGTAACCAAAAAATATAAATATGGGGTATATTGGCCTAGGGAACGTTGCGTACTATGAATCAGCTTACGTAATATGTCGTAAGTAGAGGTATATATCCATTTATTTGCCTATGATTATATCTAGTATTTTCTTTATACCTCTATCAATACTTCTCTATCTATTCCACACTCAATCTGTTCTTCATATTCTAACAAGACATATTCGAATTGATCGATATATATCGATATGCATAGATATATTCTTATGAATCAGCCCAGATATAGAAAATATTAAGTTCAAGGAATACTAATAGAAACCTTTAGGGGCTCTATACTTTCTGATTAACTTTGTTGGACAAAACTGGGGAGTATCAGGTCAGGTCTATCTGTTAACATTTTTACAGGGTATGTGATAGTCGATTACTTTAAGCTTATTGTCAAAAGTACGAACTTCAATCTATAGCAATCAATGTAGAATTTGTGCTATGTAGGGTATCTGCTGGTCGATCATATTCCATTATTGACGTATTTTTACGTATTTGGAATGGATTTGTTGTCAAAAGCCCGAATTCGGATCTGATGCATTGCTATCAATGTATAATTTGCATTGTGCAGGGTATCTGCTGGTCGATCACATACAGTTATTGACGTATTTTCACGTATTTGGAATGGATTTGCTGTCAAAAGTACGAATTTCGATCTGTAGCATTGCAATCAATATATAATATGTATTATACAGGGTATCTGCTGGTCGATCACATTCCACTATTGACGTATTTTGACGTATTTGGAATGGATTCGTTGTTGTCTGGGCGCAATGTCAAAGCATTTTTGCCAATTGGCTGCGCTCCGCTGCCCTTGGCTAAGTGTGCCACTAGCTCCACCCCCCCCCCCCCCCCCCCACACACACACACACACACATATGCACTGGCCCCACGCCCGGCCACGCCCACTGCCGTGGGGAACGAACTGGTGGAAACAAACAACTGTTTCGACATGGAGCGCAATTAAAACAGCATTTCATTGCGAACGCGTTCGACTGATTTCTTGGATTGTTTTCCATGCAGTGAAATGCGAATGTGGAATGCGGATGTCAATGCGGATGTTAATGGTACTCGCTTTGGTTTTCAGCCCGTCGGTGGGTCCTTTTGTTCGAGAGCCGCTGGCCACGGGGCACAATGCGTTTCATTGGCATGGCGCTGGGCCAGGACAAACCTCAATTTAAGCAGCGCTGCGAAAAGGAGTTGCATTAGTCGAAAGCCACAGGCATTTGCCGAAAACCAACTGATCTATCCTTGCCTCGAACCGCCTAGTCCCCTCCCCCCCAGCCCCAGGGTGCCATTTGAATGGACTCTTTGATTTGGACTGATTTGCTCCGAGATTTTTCGGCGCAATTTTGTTTTGTTGTTTGGTTTGCTCTGCTATGGCTTGCTCAGTCGTATACCCTGGAATTGAGTGCGGTGTAGGGTAGCTCAGGCAGCCAATGGGAATGTGAGCAAGAGCTGGAAGGAGTCCTCATGTGGGGGCAGGGGGTAGAGCCTTAGGGCAGTGAGCTCCTCTTCGATGCTTCATCATGTTTTCATTTCAAACAAAATAGATTTATTCAAAATACGTTTTAATTTAATAAAGCTGTCCTTCCCGGTCGGAGAGACCGGCGGACAGCACGTATGGGGCTACGATGTGAAGCGATTGGTGTGTGTCATGGAGGCGGGGTCCACGATCCGAACGGTTGCTGCCTATCCGGGGCCAAGGGGCAAGGGGCAAGCCGGTGACCCACCTCTGAGTCCGAATTTGTTTTGAGGGAAAGGGACGGTGTCGATGCGCTAGGAAGATTCCTGGTGTGCACATTCGTATATACAGCTGCACTCTCACCGACGTCTGCGCCTCTTGCTCTTGACTCGTGAGCTGTCCAGGCGCGGCTCGATGAACGTTGCGGGAGAGCCAGTGGAGCGAGCCTCGTCAGGCTCGTTGGCATCGGGCTTGATGATCGATTCCAGGCAATAGAGATCCTTGTCTCGGCGCACGAAGCCGTGCATCCAGGCCGCGGTCAGCGTGTTGTCGACAGAGAGGCGTACCTCCTGAACGGATTTGTCCGCCATTTCGGCAACGTATTCGATTACCTCCTCGAGCGCCATGGGCCGACGGAACTCCATGAATGCTTCCAATATCAGATCTCCATAGCGATATTTCGACATTTCCCAATCCTCTGGCAGCTCCGCTCAATCAAAACAAAATTTTGCCGGAGCTGTGTGTCGTACTAGGTTAACATATTCATTAATCGGAATTTCCTATACAAACTCAATGGCTGACTAGATCGGACTACTACATACATAGTATGCATATGGGAGAAGCATAGATAGAGAGAGAAAAATAGAGAGATATATATATATATAGAGAGAGAGAAGGAAAGAGAGAGAGAGGGAAAGAGAGAGAGAAACAGATAGAGAGAGAGACAGGTAGAGAGAGAATAAGAGAGATAGATAGAGAGAGAGAGAGAAAGAACTGGAGATATAGATAGAGAGAGAGCGACAGATAGAGAGAGAGAAAGAAAGAGGGCGATAAATTGAGAGAGAGAGCAAGATAGATAGAGAGAGAGATAAATAGAAAAAAAGAGAGAGAGATGCAGTTGACATGGCTAAACAAATTTGGGGGTTCCGGTAGATCCGGTAGAGGTTTCCCATAATGCATAAGCTTAGAATGAAGGAAGGCATTTCAAATCTTAAAGACCTCATTAAAGATTTTTGGTTTCTCATAGATAGATAGTACGAGAATTACACAGATGATATACTAGGAACTACCATGGAGTGTAATATAATATATAAGATCCTGTTCTTGTTCTTTCCCAACCCCATTGTCAAATAGTAGATCCTACCCAGTACTACTAGACATCAAGTACTGCTAGATAAGGATGGCGAGCTTAGTTGATCTGCCCATATACATACATATGTCTGCATGCTTGTATGTGTGCTTATATACATACATATATGTCTATTAGTCCCTTAGTCTGTGCGTTCCTCCGTCCGTTCTTTCATTTTAGTGCCTCTCAAATTATGTATGTATGTCTAATGACTGCAGTGTTGGCTCCCCGCAGGGTATGCTATAGCCATGAATGGGAGCAAAGTTTACCCTAAGATAGTCCAAGTTAGTCCTAACAAGTGTCAGATATGTTAGATTTGTCTATAGTTCATATCAAACTACCTATATGGTAAATAAATACCTTAAATTCTATCCCACAACTCCCTTATAGACCGCAGCGACCTAGTACTCCACGTCTGCATTTGATATACAATCGAAACTGTTTCCTCTCGCAGCTTTAAGAAGACTCCAAGTGCCTTCCAAAGACATTTACCTGTTCTCTGCTTGTCGGGGCTTAGCGACAATTACCAACCACCCAAGCCACCCGCTGCTGCTCAACAGCAGCGCGAGGGGGCGGGGCGAGGGGTGTTTGATGTTTATGCTCATGATTAATTGCAGTTGCTTCGGTCGTTTCTACTTTTCGGCTAGGGGAAGCTAAGTGCTGTGGGCGCTACCCAGCGTGCCTGTCCAGCTCGACGCTAGATGGCGCTGCGCGATTATTTCGTTAACATTTACACCAACTGCAGTTAAATTGGAGCGTTACGCTATTTTTGCCCATTTTCGGCAATGCCTGGCCATTTGACCTATTTATACAGCTGTTGGCGTTAACTGAGAGCGGGTATATTGATTGGCATAGCCAGCTTGTGTGTTGGGTGTTTGATAGAACATGAAGTTCATATATGTTTTTGTGTATATATAGAGTATAACTTCTAGATATAGAAGGTTAGATGCATAGACCTCATATATCTAGTGGCAGACCCATTGAGTTTCTCTCTTATAAAAGCTAGGTAGAGCTTGACTTTTGGTTGGTTGTTTGATGGGGAATGTTGTTTAAGGCCTCGTCTATATATGTATGCCTTCTAGATGTATTGGCTAAGGTGCATAAGCCACGCCTCTTATGGGCGTATGTCTATTGATAGGTTTATTGGTTTACTCATGGCCAGGTTATGCTAGAGGTATAGCTAGAGTTTTATATTTTGCTAGTATGTCTAGATTCTAGGTTATATCTATGTATCTTCTAAATATGGAAAGCCACGCCTCTTAGGGCGTATATCTTTCTATAGAGTTAATGTTAAGGCATAGCTTGACTCGTGGGAGATGAAGTTCATAGATATCTATTCTATATACATATAAATGTATTCTAGATCTAGAATGTAAGCTGCATAGGTCACGCCCCTTAGGTCATATGTCTATAGACAAAGTTATTGAGCCAGACCTAATTTCCTTTCCCTCTTACACTTTTCCTCCAATCTCGAATGTTGCTTAGGCAGGGTATTTGATAGTCGGTCATTGCCGCTTGCCTTGCATTAGCTACTCACTTGTTTAATCTGGCCTAGTTGTTATTTCTATTCTGGCCTCTTGCTGTTTGGGCCCTGATGGCCGTTGTGTTTCGTGTTTTGTATTTTGTTTTGTTTTTGTTTTTTTTTTTTTGTTGGTGCTCTTTAAGATTTGTCATTTGCGATAAGCGAAGGAAAAGCGTTTAAAGTTTTCAGCTTAAAGGCAACTTTTTCAGCTCCGCCTTCATCATCATCATCATCATCATCATCGTCGTCTTCTTCTTCTGCTTCTGCTTCTGCTTTTCATTTGCCTGCTGACTTTATTAGGCTTTAGTGCTTGCAGCTCTGCAGTTGCTTTTCGTATAATTGAAAATTTGTTAAGTCGTTCGCTTGTAATTGGTTTAGACACACACACACACACACACACACACATGTGAAGTGTTTGAAAGTTGCTTTTAATATGCTTAAGTCTTTTGGCTTGTGGAATATATGAGAGAGATAACTCCAGCTCGATATATGTAGATCTATATATGTATGTGTGTATATCTAGAGCTGTATCAGCTTTTGCAGTTCAACTCTTTCTCTCTTTCTCTCTCTTCTAATATTGTCTCGATATATGTAGATCCATATCCATGTATGTATATCTAGAGCTGTATCAGCTTTTGCTGTTTAACTCTTTCTCTTTCTCTCTTCGCTTTCCAAAGTTGAGTCTATATGCGCCTAGCCAAAAGCCTCTAGTACTGCATATAGAACTTTGACCAGCTTGGGGCAGATAAAGTGAAAATATGGCCAAAAAAGAACGATAAAAATTTTTATATATATACTACATATTTTACATTTAAAGTAATTTAAAGGAAATCTATTTTAAAAATATTTTTACTTGAATAAAGAAATAAATGTAATAAAATTGATCTCAATAATTAAGCAACAAAATTCCATTTTTGAATATGTAAGAAAAAATGTTGCAAACATGTTTTTAAATATGCAAAAGAAAAATATATATATACATACATACATATATACATATATAATAAATGCAGTAAACTTGTTGTTGTGCTTGAGTTTGCTTGGCGAAATGCGATTTATGGTCAAACGTTGTTGCCTTCAATTTGTCTGGCACTTTGGGCCGTCAAGTGGAACCGACTGCCGGCTGCCGGCTGCATTCAGCAGGCGGTAGATAGCAGGCGTTACCTAGTATATAAATGCAGCCAAGTATGAATAACGATAAGAGCGAGAGCTGCTCATAGAGTAATCGAGTCTAGTGCGCTTAAGCCAATCGGAATACGAATGTGATACCTGGACTAAGAAGTTAAGATTGTAGATATGATGGTAATATCAGTGATAGACATAGGGAAAACTCCTCGAGGGTTGAAGAATCTTTTAAAAATATATAAGAGTATAAGAGAAGTTTGATAAAGAGAATTCTATATACCTAAAATCAATGATAATTGACATTGAGCCAACTCTTTGAGTGCCCCTCGTCAAAAGGCTTTAGGCCATGAGAGTGAACTGCTTGGAAATCTCTGCTAGAAAACAGCTAGATATAATATTTAGTTTAGATTGTAGATATGATAGTAATATCAGTGATAGACATAGGGAAAACTCCTCGAGGGTTTCTGGTTGAAGAATTTTTTAAAAATATATAAGAGTATAAGAGAAGTTCGAACAAGGGAATTCCATATACCTAAAATCAATGCTTATTGACATTGAGCCAACTCTTTGAGTGCCCCTCGTCAAAAGGCTTTAGGCCATGAGAGTGAACTGCTTGGAAATCTCTGCTAGAAAACCGCTAGATATAACATTTAGTTCAAATCGAGTTCGAACTTGAATTTTTGGTCAACTTTCGTTGCGGCCCTCGCTGACGTTTGCCTTGGAACGCAACGTTTGCCCATGAAATGTGTCAAATTGCTCAACAATTTGCGTCTCTCTAATGAATTCCAGCCAAAAATCGATTGGCAGGCCTTCCCCCTTTCAAATGGGCCTCGGCTTTGACTTTGACTAATGGAATGCCATCAGGCTCGGCTTACAGGATGTGCAATAAAATAATTGCACGATGCCATGCACTAATTTAAGTGAGAATCAATACCCCCCGCCCCCCTTAGCTCCAAGCCCTTGATAGACGAATTTTGTGTCAATTAAAATTTAGAGTCAAAACATTTCATTGCGATTTGATTAAATGTAATTCAATGTATTTGCCTACTCTCTCTCTCTCTCTCTCTATCTCTCTCTCTCTCTCTCTCTCGCATCTTGCTCATAAGGAGCCATCCGGCATTCGCTTTGTTTGCATTAATTATTTCAGCAAATTCCTCAATCAATTGAATTCCTTCGGAGAAGCTTAAGCTGTTTGCAGTTATGCGATTTCGACCACAAAGTGTTTAAGGTATTTAAAAGAGAACTCAATTCGATGGAAACTGCAAAGAAGATAATGTGTTAATTAGAAATAAATGGATTATGATTAATAGCAACACAATTGCCCTACAAGAGACTCATTAGGGAAAGTGAAAATTCTGCAGGAAAATTCAGTTGAAGCTGTAAATGGATTTGATAGATATTACCTTATAAAGAGGGCATATATGGTATGTGGAATAGCGAGTATGTTGAATGTATATATGTACATATACATATATTGTATATTGGATGTATGTATGTATATTATTTTATAGAGATCATAGAGTATGTAAAATATATAGAGTATGTTGATATAGTCTATAACTTATATATCCCTTATAGAGTCCAAGTAATATATTGAAGTGTTAATTTGATTCAGCTAGCCAATATAGACATTCTCCTATAGATATTACCTCGTAAAGTGTAAAGTGCAAAGTGTAAAGCATATAGAGTACTTAGAGTCTGTAGTCTATAAAGTCTGTAATCTATATAGTTTTTACATAGATCTAGGCAATTTATTT